CCGTCTATACACATGCACACAGCAGCATTGGTTACAAACGTTCTGGAGCTTCTCCCCCAACCCAACCCTGATGGCGAAGGACTGGGGTCTGTTTAGTCCTCAAGTCTGTCGTCCTCATCCACGTAACCCAGGTGGGAGGTGCAGGGATGAAAGTGAAAGGTCAGGGGGTGGTAAAAGTAAAATGTCCCATTTCCCAAAGGGGCCAAGAAGAAATGAGATGAGAGCCAAGGGACTCCCCAGAAGTGCCATAAACAAGCGCCAACAGGTCACTAGAAAGAGAAGTGTCAGAACACAGGGACTTCCCAAGAGGGAACCCAGAAGCAAGAGCTCCTGGGTCCTCTAGGGCATCTTCCCACCTGGCCTTGCCTCTAGCTGTGGCCTCTCTGACCCATTCCTCACTCCAGCTGTCATTCCATGCCTCAACATTGCCCTTCTATGAAAACCCCAATTTCCTTAGCCCGGCATTTGGGACATTTGTTTCCAATGTCCCCTCTGCTCCCCTGCTGCTCCTCCTGGGCTCCAGGCATACTGGGTGGCTGACGGCCCCACACACGCCCTGTTCACCTGGTTTCCACCCTCCGCACGTGCTCCCTTGGTCACCGGAACCCTGCACCCCTTGGCTGACTGTCAGCCTCCTACTCAGTCTTCAAACTCCAGTTCAAATGTCACCTCTGTGGGTCTCTGACCTCTCCAGGGAGTGTGAGTCACTCCTTCCTCTGGGCTCCATCCTTCCACCACAGCACACAGCTCAGGTTGTTTTCCTCTACGTTCTTAAGCAGCAGCCTGGCAGGGACCACGTCACTGAACCTCAGTGACAAACCAGTGCCTTCTACGTGCTCAAAACTCTTCTTACACGAATGACTAAATGACAGAGCATGTTTTTTCTAGTAATGGGTTGTGAAGATTACCATCAACGTTAATTTTTAAAAATCTGTATGGGTGCTACACTCCTTATTCTTGATTCTTCTTTCTTACATTCAGTGCAGAGGCTCTGAGACCTTATGTACTTGGAGAGGATAAAAGTGCTCCAACTTCCCCCTACCTCAGGACCTTTGCACATGCCATTCCTTCTATAATACTTTTCCTTCAGCTTCTTTTGCATTCTTATCCTCAGATTTTACCTTCAAAGTTGTGCCTTCAAAGAAGACATCCAGAACTTGGAGTGCGCTCTTCTGAAGCTCTCTGTGCTGTCCCACCCCCCAACTTGTCTCCCTCAAAGCAATTGTATTATTAGGACTTGTTTCTGTGTTTATGACTTACCTCTATTATTTCTAGTGCATAGAATAGAGTCTGGAACACAGCAAGTGCTCAACAAGTAGCTGAAGAAGAATGACTGAGTGAATGAATTAACTGGGCTAACACTTGGGACAGCGCTGGACAGGTCTCAGTTTCCCTATCAGCTCTTCACTGTCCCCTGGAACTACCCTCCCTCGACCCCAGGCAACACCCTCAGTACCCAGAGTCTGGAAGTGACAGTGACTGTTGTCTTTGGATGAGTGACAGGGGACTTTCAGAGAGGGCCGTGGGCTGCCCAGGGTCACACTGCATATCTCGGCTAAGTGGGGTTCTCAGGCTGGGAAAGAACTAACTAGGTGACCAGGGCAGGAAAGGAGACCCTGTCACTGATGCACAGCACAGCAAGACCTCATTCTTGCCTTTGCTCCTCTGAAGAATGGGGTGGTGGCCCCAGCCCAACCCTTAATGTGGCACAGAGCAACTTATGGCGGTCTGAGGACCCTGGCCTTGCAGCCTGGGTGGTGGACGTTGATGAAGACATGACCGCCTCTGGCCAGCCCATCACTCCTGCAGCAGGCAACTCTGCATGTGGACTCCTTCTTCAACACCCACCTCCAGCTCCTGCCCTTGCTGGTGGCCCAGTGCCAGCAGGCTGTCCCTGTCAATGCCACCTCAGGGAGCATCTCCTCCCTGCAGCTCACGTCCTCCAGGCCAGCAGGGCTGTTGGCAAAGCTTTGAACCACAGCTGCTGAAGCCCTGAGGTCAGGGGCAACCTGGCCTGTCACCCTCCATCTCTGGCAGACTGAGTGCTACTGACTTGCCCTGGAGAAAGTTGGCAGGCCAAGTCCTGGTCTCCATTTCATACTCGTGGCAGATAAAGCAACAGAGGCCCGGAGAGGCCCCAAAGCCTCATCCGTGGTCACACAGCGAGTGTGAAGGGAGGGGCCTGAGGGAGGAGACAGGCTGGTACATTTGCCTCTCCTCCCCTGGGGACAAAAAATGGTCAGTTCCTCCCTGGGGGTGCAGACGCCAGCAGTCTGGGTCCTGGGTGCAGCTGGCCTGAGCATCTGCCCCTCCATGGGGCCCCCGCCCCGACCCTGGGGAATATTCTCAGGTCGTTTCAGAAGTTCCAGGTTTACTCAGAGCTCTCATTTGAGCTGTCATGAAAAGTCCCTTCGGTCTGGGGCCACACAGAGGGTGGGGGCTGTGGCACCTGGGAGCCAGCCACGGGTGAACGTGGGGCTCCTCCCAGCTCCCCAATCCATGGGTTTCTGGGGGCTCCGGAGAAGCTGTGAGGAAGGGGCTGTGAAGGCGGGAAGACCCTCTTCCTCAGTGACATGCTTCTCCTGTTCTCGTGGCTCCCTTCCCTCCTTTTCCAAATGGCTGTCTGTCCATCCTCTCTGAGCCTCTGCTTCCCCATCTAGAAAGGGATGGGGGGAATCACTGGAGCAGCCATCGTTTGTTGGGGACATGGTATTTCCAGAACCCATACTGTGCTCTGGTCAGGAGCGAGATCACCACCAATAAAATGAAAGGAAAACCTGGGAGCTACTGTTTCCTGAAAGCCATGTGCAGGTCACTGCTGAGTGTGTGCCCTCATCACTGCACTTTGCTGTCTGGGCCCTGCTGAGCACCAGGACCTAGGAAGGTGCCTGACTCCATAACAAGTGCTGTGTAAATACGTGTGCCATAAACACTCACAGCCAGGTGGAGATCAGCCATCTCTTTCCTCTTCTCATTTCCTCACATTGCGGCTAAAGCACAGAGAAGGTGAGTGACTTACTCAAGGTCACACAGCACTAAGTGGGGAACTGGGACTTGAACCCACAACTGGCTGATTTCAAAGCTCAAAGTCACCATCAGCGGCGGGCTGATAGAGCAGGGTCCACACCCCCACCTGCCCGTGGGGACCTTGGCTAGCTGTGAGGAGCAGGCTGGCACTCCTGTGTGTGGGATCCTGAGAGTCCTGCCCCCTCCTGGCTGTGGAGGGAATGGGCATTCCTTCCTCGCATGCATGCATTTATCCAGGCACCCGGGCTGTAGAGAGGTTGGCTGGTCCCCAAGCTGGTGACTGCTTTTCCCTCACACTGCTCTCCTCCCCAGCACCACCCAGGAGCCCCTTGCAGCCTCTACCCCTGCCTCCTTCTCTCTGCTTTTGGGCTGAAGTTGGCCTCAATTGGGGGCCTGCAAAGGCTTGGGCTCAGGCCTGGCCCTGTTCTCATGGTCCCTGACTCTGGTCATCTCCTTGCCTAAGAGGCCCAGTCAGGGTCCAGATATTGGCCAGGGTGGGCAGCAGGACCAGGCCTCGCCTCTAAGAACTGCCAGCACTGCGGCAGTGGATGCCCAGACACCCTGGTCCTCTGCCCACAAGGTGCCCAGGTGCCACAGGTCTGCTCTTTGTGTTATCCTGTCCCACGGTTGTGGCCTGGCCATTGTACAGGCCAGAGTCCAACCCTAGTCCAACCTCTGCATGCCTCAGTCACCCTTAACCCGGGGCAGGTCCCCATGGACCTTCAGTCTCACCATCTGTGAAACAGGACACCCAAGCCACCAGTCCCGCCTGCTGCTCTGAGGATTCTCATGTGTCTAGGTCAGTGGTAGGCCAGGGGTAGGGCTGGGGACAGTGACACTACTTCCCTGAGCATGTTCCTGCGTTCTCAGCTGCTCTTGGCATCTGGCCCTTCCCCTTACAGTCTCAAGGTCCTTCATGATGACAGCTCCCTTCCCAAAAGGAGCCTGTGCACTGTCATGCCCCCAAGTCCTCGTATACAGCCCCACCAGGGTGGAGCTGCCTCGATCCCCATTTTGCAGGTGGGAAGACTGAGGCCTCATGAGAAAAGGAGCAAGTTCACTGGCTAGGTTTCCCCAATCCACCATGTACCGTGAAACCCCTACTCCCTGCGGAGTGAGTCATCCTCTCAGGGCGGCTTCCTGAAGCCCCCATGCTGGTCCCAGGCTCCTGCAAGCAGTGACTGGTACCTTCCTCAGGTCTCAAGTCTCCCCCTCCGACCAACCTTCACTCTGGCCTCTTACACGGCTGCTCATTTTCCCCTTCCATCCTTCAGGCTTGGCCTCCACTAACCTCCCCACTCCCTGCTCCTCCACACACAAGAGGTTTTTGCCTCTTACCATCGGACTCTGGGCTTTGTGAGAAGGACAAGAGGACAGTATGCAGTCACCTGGCAGAACTGCCCACCCTGCATAATCCTGGGGAGTCTCCTAAGGAAACCCCTCTTCCCCTCAGAGTCACATTTCCTTATCCACCAACCCCTGTTTGGAAGAATTTGTTGAAACAAAAGTGATAAAACCTGAAGCTGGCACAGCGTTGACGCCCCTCCCCCGACACACGGGGGATATTCCCATGGGGGAATCCATCCCTGCCCTGCCCACCACAGCCTGACACAGCTGCCCACACTCCAGGTGACTGTCACGTTGCATTTGCCGGGAACTGGCTCCCTCTCCCTGCATCTTGCAAGTGGCTTCCACAGGCAGGGGGCCATCTCAGCCTCACCCCTGTCTCCACAACCCCAGCCTCTGCCGACACACAGCAGAAGACTGCAGTCACTCTGAGCTGGGCGGAACAGGAGATCCAACTCTGCCCAGTCTGACTGCACGGCCTTCTGTGCCTCAGTGTCCCCAGCTGTAACCTGGCACAGGACTTTTCAGAGTCCTCTCACCGTGTTGCCAGATGCCACAGGCAAGGCACAGACCCTTGGGGTAGAGAAGGCAGCCACCCTGAGAGAGCGGTGACAGGGTCCACATACCTGCTGCCTTGGGGACCTCCTCAGGAATCCATTCCGCAGGCTTGGAGCACTCTGATGGCCCCCCGGCCCCCCGGGGATGACAGCTGGGCTGGGCTTGGGGGTGGGAGTTGCAGGTCTGAGAAAGCGGGCAGAGGTCTGGGTTGAGAATCCACAACGTGCCTTAGTCACCAACCAGTCACCTTGGGCAGGCTGGCAGATGGCTGGGTTTCTGGGCAGGTGTCCCACACAGAGGGTGGCAGCTGGGCCCCAGGGCAGCCAGAGAGAAGGAGGCTGTGAGTCAGGAATCAGTCAGCTGCTCCAGGGGTGGACAGACAGACAGACAGACAGCTGCATGGCTGTCAGTGACACTCCTGGAGAAGCAGGCAGCCAGCTGGGTGCCGAGCCCCACAGTCACACTGGCCCGGGCTGGCGCGTGTGCCGAGCGGGGAGGAAGAGGAGGATGTGGTGAGCGGTCCCCGCCCCGCCCAGCCCGGCTCCTCCTTGGGGGAGTGAGAAAGAGGTGGGGGACCGGGCCTACAGAGAAGCAGGCGCCCACTACTTACTAAAGGTCACCTGATAAGAAGACATTTGGGGCCACTGGGAGAGACACCTGCCTTTTGGGGACACATGACATCATCCTCCACAGACCTCCTAAGTCAGGACCCATGAGGTCGACGGTGTGGCCAGAAGCCTCCGCTTCTCACAGATGTGGAAACTGAGGCTCAGAGGTGTGAAGAGGCGGGGCATCCAGATGGAAGGCCCTCGGGGCCGCGTCTAACCCCTTCGCTCAGAGAGGAAAGGCGCGAGTCCCAGGGCCATGGACTTGCCCTGGTCCATGGAGCTCCCCGTGCCACAGTTTTCAAACTGGCCCGATGTGTTCATCCACACTGGGCCTCCCTCTCGGCCAGGAGGCTGTGAACTTGGGAGTCCCTCCTTGGGTGTGGCACAGCCTCCTCTTGGTCCCAGCTCCTCTTGGATCCAGCCTCCCACTTCAGGTCTGTGGGAGCCGGGTATGGTCTCCATGCAATGGAGGACAGAGTCCCTGGGGCATGTCACAGCCCCTCTCTGAGTACATTCCTTTGTCCATTTGTGAAACGGGGACATCCAGCTACAAGGGACCCACTCACATAAGGGAGTTCAAGATGAAACTAGAGGAAAGAAATTCCCAAGCCAGTTTTTGCCCTGTGACAAGCCAGGGGTCAGATACCTTTGGTAGACATTTAAGATACCAGGGGACAAAATTCAAGTGCCTCGTGCCCAGCAACCTCAAGAGGAAGAGGAAGACAGCTGCTCCACTGTCACCACCACACCTCGCCTTGCATAGGCACCTGAACGAGCTCACTTTATGCCACCAACTCTGCAGAACAGACAAGACTAATCCCATTTTACAGATGGAGAAACTGAGGCAGAGAGGCTTGGAAAATCTCACAAGCGCCCAAGTGTTGACACTAGGGTTTGAATCTAGCTGTGTCTGGTTCCTAAGCTTGCACCAGGCTGAGAAGGGTGAAAGAGGCCTGAGGGGGCCCAGGGAGGGCAGGGGCGACTGGGTCCCCTGTGTCTTGACCCAAGTTGTCTCATAGGCACATGCCATTGTTCCCTGCTGACTCATTTGGGGAAACAACTTGCAGTTGCCAACAAGGACACTCCAGAGAAGAGAACGAATCTTGCTCTTCTTTCCTTCTTTTTTCTTTCTTTCTCGATGAGTCTGAGGAAGTGGGTACAACCCCCCTGTGGTTCATCTGAGAGTCTCTGTCAACAGAGGTCCTGACTACTGCTCTGCAGATCTTGGGAGGGAGCCAGTTTCTCTCTCTCCCCCTTGAACTTCAGAGTAAGCCTCGTATCCCGCCTTGAACTCAGGGCGGTTGGCAGATCAAGGGGAGTCAGAAAGAGTAAATGTTTACGAAGAGCTCACCAAAGGATGTCAAAGAGTTCCAAAGAACTCCAAAGACACTATTTATCACCATCCTCATAATTTCCTTGTGTGACAGATGAAGAAACTGAGGCTCAAGGAGGGTAAGTGACATGTCCAAAGTCACACAGCTGGTGAGTGATGGAGTTGGGATTTGAACTCAGTTCTTTGGGTTCCAGAGCCCACGGTCTAGAAAACTCACCACACTGCTTCCCATATGTTAACACGGAATGTTCCGTACCCCTCCCTTCCTCTTTCCTCCCCCTTTTCCCTTCCTTTCCTTTCTTCCTCCCTCCCTGTTTTCTCCTTCCCCTCCTTTCCTTCCTCCCTTCTCTCACCAAAATGATCAAGCAGTCCCCTCGCTATGGCCTGGGGACACTCCCCAGACACACAGACACAGTAACAGCCTCTTGTGGAGTCTCTTACAAGTGGGAAGAGACAGACAAAAAAGAAGTAAGTGACAAAGTAAACACCTGCTGTGCCACGCGTCACAGAAACCAAGTAGGGGTCAAGGTCGTGCCGTGTAGCGGCCTAGCAGACCAGACAAGGAACACGGTAGGGTGCGTGCGTCAGGCGGAATGAGGGACCCGGCAGCACGAGGCACTGAGGTGGCCAAGCATGAGGCTTGCTCTGGGAATGTGAGGACAGAGTGGAGAAGAGCGTGTGCCGGCAGGTGGCCAATAGGAGGTGAAGTCACGAAGTCACACATCATACTGGCAAAGGGAGACCTTGCCAAATGGGTGGTGGAAATGGGAGCTACCTGAGGGAGGCTTCAGAGGGGTGGCTTAGGCCACCTTACCTCTTCCAAAGAGTGCTCAGGCTGTGACCTGGGCAGTGGGCACTTGTCCCTTGGTACTTATAAGACAGATGGCTTTGGAGCTGGAAAGGTGAAGTTGCAGCCAAGGAAGCTCCTCTGGTTCTACAAATGTCCCTTAAGTGTGGGCCCATTGCCCTGGAGGGGGTGACAGTGACTCTGAGGCCTCCCAACCCCCAGTCCTCAGAGCTGGCCAGTGGGGAGGAAGTGGTCATGTCTGCATTTCAGCCAAGTGGTCTCCTGGGGAAAAAATAATTGCGACAACCCCTCCTGCACCCATTTCCTCTTTTGTATTTTTATTTTCCCGCTTTATTGAGATATGATTTACATAGTGTAAAACAGCTGCTGCACTGCAGACCAATGACTTCCCATAAACCTACTGAATTGAGCAACCACGACCTCACCTCATTTGGATGGCACATTTCTGTCACCCCAAAAGGATCCCTGGTGCTTGCGGTCGGTCCTCACTTCCATGCTCACAGGCATTTAATACACTTTTAGGTCTCGACTCATTTTCCTTTCCCTTAGTCTGAGAATTTCACGTAAATTGGCCATTCGATATGGCCTTCTGCATCTGGCTCCTGTCACCCAGCATGGTGTGCTTGAATTCAGCTATGTCACAGCATAGCTTGCCACTACATCCCTTTTTATTGCTGAATAATATTTCATTACATGGATGTGCCACAGTTTATCCTTCTCTTGTTTGATGGGCATTTGGGTGGTGTCCATATTATAGAGGCTACAGTCTGTATAGACAAGCATTTTCAAACCTCTTGGGTTTCTAACCAGGACTGAACCTGCTAAGTTACATGAGAATTCCATCTTTGACTTACTAAGGCTGACAAACTGTTTCCCATGGCAACCACACTGTACTCCATTCCCCCAAGCACTGGGTGCAAGTTCCTCTGTGTCCTCACCAGTGCTTATGTTCTTTCTTTCTTTTTTTTTTTTGGTAATACTGAGGTTTGAGCTCGGGGCTTTGCACTTGATAGGTAGGTGCTCTACCACTTAAGCCATGCCTCCAGCCTTTTTTGCTCTGGGAATTATTTGGGAGATAGGGTCTCACCTTGTGTCCAGGCCAGCCAGGATCACAATTCTCCGATTTTAAGCTTCCCACCATCGCGAGGATGACAGGCACACACTGCATTTTTCCCACTGAGATGGGGTCTTACAAAGTTTTTTTGCCTGGGCTGGCCTGCAACCACGATCCTCTCAATCTCAGCCTCCCAAGAAGCTAGGATTACAGGCATGAGCCACTGCACCAGCTTGTTTTCTTTTTTGATATCTCTCCTGGTGCATGCGAATGGCTTCCTTTGTATTCCCCTAATGGCCAGTGGCACTGAGCATCCTATGTGCGCGATAGTCATTTGTCTGTTTTCCTTTGAGAAATGGTCAAGTTAATTTGTTCATGGGATTGCTTGTCATTTGTTGAGTTATAAAAGCTCTTCATCTGATCTGGATGCATGACCTTTATCAGACATATGATTTGCAAATGCTTCCCTTCATTCCCTGTGTTGTCTTACTACTTTCTTGGTAAGGTGCTTTCATGTAAAAGAGTTTCCAATCTCCTCCTCCTCCTCCTCCTCCTCCTCCTCCTCCTCCTCCTCCTCCTCTTCCTCCTCCTCCTCCTTCCTCTTCTTCTCCTTCTTCTTCTTCTTCTTCTTCTTCTTCTTCTTCTTCTTCTTCTTCTTCTTCTTCTTCTTCTTCTTCTTTCTTCTTTTCTCTCTCTCTCTCTCTCTCTCTCTCTCTCTCTCTCATTTGAGATGTGACAGCTAAGAGCAATCCATTGTCATGAAGGTTTGCCTTATGTTTAGAACTGATCCACTTTTGTGCACGTGTGAGGTCAGGTGCCCCTTCCTCTTTTGTATAATGGATATCTAGTTGTCAAGCACCATTTGTTAAAAGAGACTACTCTTTCCTCCACTGAATTTTGGCAACCTTATCAAAAATCAATTGCCCATGGCTTATTTCTAGATTTTCAGTTCTACTCCATTGTTCTACATGTTTGTTATTCTGCCAATGTCACATTTTTTAAAGATTGTAAATCTGTAGTAACTTTGGAATTGGTTATTTGAATCCTTCCAATCTTATTCTAAAGAGTTTTGGCTTATTTTGGTCACTTGCAAATAATCAGTTTTTCCATAAAAAAAAGCTATTGGGATTTTGATAAGGATTGCTTTAAATCAATAGATGGCTTTGATGTGTAGTAACATCTTAACAACATAAGTCCTCCATTTCAAGAACGTAGGATGTTTTACATTTACTTGGTCTTCTGTAAGCTTTTCAGCAGGGTTTTCTGGTGTCCAGTGTATACGCCTTGCATTTCTTTGGCTCAGTGGATTCTTAAGTGTTTTTTTCTTCTTGCTGCCATTGTTCATGGATCAGCATTCTTAGCGGTCATTCGTCATTGCTGGTGGGCAGAAGCACAATTCATCTTTGTATGTTGAACGTGTATCCTGATGCTTTGTTGAAGTCGTTTCTTACCTCTAGTAATTTCTTTGCACACTTCTGCCTTTCCACTTTGGATACTTTTTCTTGCTGAATTGTTCTGGTTAAAACTTTCAGTACAAGGCTGAATAGCAATGGTGTAAGTGGCTGTCCTCATTCCTGGCCATAGGGGCAAAGTTTGCAGTTTTCACCTAGCTAGCGTGACGGCTGCTATGAGTTTTTCATCTTTGGCCTTTATCGTGTAGAGA